CTTGCCACTCCCTTCTGGCCTGCAAAGTTTCTGTTGAGAAATCAGCTGACAGTCGTATGGGTACTCCCTTATAGGTAACTGACTTTTTTTCTCTTGCTGCTTTTAAGATTCTCTCTTTGTCTTTTGCTCTTGGCATTTTAATTATGATGTGTCTTGGTGTGGTCCTCTTTGGATTCCTTTTGTTTGGGGTTCTCTGCACTTCCTGGACTTGGAAGTCTATTTCTTTCACCAGGTAGGGGAAGTTTTCTGTCATTATTTCTTCAAATAGGTTTTCAATATCTTGCCCTCTCTCTTCTTCTGGTACCCCTATAATTCTGATGTTGGTACGCTTGAAGTTGTCCCAGAGGCTCCTTACACTATCTTCGTATTTTTGGATTCTTTTTTCATTTTGCTTTTCCGGTTGGGTGTTTTTTGCTTCTTCGTATTTCAAATCTTTGACTTGATTCTTGCGATCCTCTGGTCTGCTGTTGGGAGTCTGTATAATATTCTTTATTTCAGTCAGTGTATGCTTAATTTCTAGTTGGTCCTTTATCACAACATCGAGGGTCTCACTAGATTTCTTAAGGATCTCAATACATTTATCGGCGGTTTCCATAAAATTCTTGAAAAATCTTAGAACCGTGGTTTTGAACTCTATATCCAGTCGTTTGCTGTCCTCCATTTCTGTCATTTGTGACCTGTTTCTTTGTCTTCGCATTTTGTCTGCTTCCCTGTGTTGGTAGAGTGGTTTTGTGTGCTAGGTGTCCTACAGGGCCCAGTGGCTCAGCCTCCCCAGTTACCTGAGGTGGACACTCTTGGTGCACCCCCTTGTGGGCTTTGTGCACAGTCTTGTTGTAGTTATGCCTTGATTGTTTTAGGTGTCACTGGGAGGAATTGACCTCCAGGCCAATTGGCAGTGAGAATCAGCTGTGTCTGCAGTGGGAGAACTTCTGTGCTGAAGACACCCTTCTGGGGCAAGACTTGCTTCAGTGGGGCTTTGGTGCTCACTGAGTCTGCCCCCTGAGTGTGTTCCTTATGAATCTGAGGAGTTGTAATCTGGGTGGTCCCACTCTGACCACTGGGTACACTGGCTCTTGGATCTAAGGAGGTGCTAATTAAGCCTCTTCCTGAGGTTACCCAGCAGGAGCTATGAAGAGATATGCAGATTCCCCTTCCTTTTTTGGGGGTTTGGGGGTGCCCAGATGAGGCCCAGCTGAGAAGCAATGCAAGCTGCTGTGGGGCCTTGGGCCTTCTCTTGAAGTTCTGGGTCTGTCTGGTCCAGCTGCAATTTGTTAGGTAGTTGTCAGGTTGTAAAGGACCCGGGCATTCATATGCAAAAGGCTTTGCAGCAGCCTGGATGGGGCGGGGTCTCGGAATCAACAGGGCGGAGCAAGCAGCTATGGCTGATTCTCAGCCCTGCCCTAAGGGGCCGCGCGTCTCAGTGTCCCGGTAATTGCTGCCAGCACCTCTGAGGGAAAGCCGCCCTCAAGTTCCGAGTTCTGCCTGCTGCCAGACAGTCCAGTTTCTCCCTGTATGAGCCCTGGGACCCCAGAGATTTCCGGAACCAGAGTTCAGAGCAGTCGGGAGCTTGTGACTCCCTCCCGATTCAAAAAGACAGAATTTCCACGCGCGCCGGAGTCTCCGTACCTCTGCACTTTACTTAGAATTTCCACTCGGCCAGCCTTCCTGTGGTTCTGGATGATGTCCGTTTTGTCTTTTAGTTGTATTTTTGAATTTGTTGTGGGAGGCAGCAATTTCCGGTGTTTACCTATGCCGCCATCTTGGTTTCTCCGCATATGTGGCTATTTAAATCAAACTAATCAAAACGAGATGGAAAGCCTCCTTTCTTCGGTGGTACCAGCCACTCTTCAAATGCTTAGTAGCCACGTGTGGCTGGTGGTGAACAGGCTGGACAGCACGGAGGACACACGTTTCCATCCTCACAGAAATGATGATGGGTAAACGCTTGTCTGCAGGCTAGGAATTTCCCCACTGGTGTCTTTTACACATTTTCAACAACATTTTCTTGGCAAAGAAGAAGATGGGACACTGGGCGGAACTGTCATCTTTTTTAAAAAATATATTTTGTTGATTTTTTACAGAGTGGAAGGGAGAGGGATAGAGAGTTAGAAACATCGATAAGAGAGAAACATCGATCAACTGCCGCCTGCACAACGCCTACTGGGGATGTGCCCACAACCAAGGTACATGCCCTTGACCAGAATCGAACCTGAGACCTTTCAGTCCTCAGGCCAACGTTCTATCCACTGAGCCAAACTGGTTAGGGCCGGAATTGTCATCTTGCTAGATACTTCATTAGCAGGAACACACAGACTGACAGAGGAGTTGGTTGACACAAATTTGGCTTGAACGGGGGTTTTTCCAGATGCCGCGTTACTGTGTCCCTCTCCCAGGAGCATGAGCCGCGTGGGTGTGGGTGTTTCGCCTTCCATTTGTCACTGGAGGTTAAGACGAGGCGTTCTCTCCCTTCCTGCTTTCTCTTCGAGAGGAACACCTTTCCCTTCGCGTGTCTAACAAGGGAAAGATGCTGGTGGAGATGTTTCGGATCCTCTGGCGTGGGACGAAGGAAGGCTCTTTCGGGATATAGACTCACCAGGTTCTACGGCAAAAGAGAAGTCCTGAACCAGGGGCGGCTGGACTGGCCACCAAGACCCAATCATCCCAGGGTGTCTTGGTACTTCGTTCAATCGCTCATTCCACCAACATTTACTGAGCATTTATTATGTGCCAGGATACAGCCATGAGCTCAACACGGACCTTCCGTGATAGGGCTGACAGGGAAGGGGTGACCCCACAATGCAAAGAATGATGCCACATAAGTATAATGGGTCCAGGTCAGCCATATACGATAATAGCAGTTGCCTCGTTCTGAATTCCTATCCCCATCCCTATTCTTTTTTTAATCCTCACCTGAGGATATGTTTGTCTTTATTTTAGAGAGAGAGAGGAAGGGAGAGGGAGAGAGAGAGAAACATCTATGTGAGAGAGAAACATTGATCGGTTGCCTCCTGTATGTACCCTGACCAGGTATCAAACCCACAACCCTTAGTACCTGGGACGATGCTCCAACCAATGGAGCCACATGGGCCAGGGCTCCTGTACCAAGCACTGAGCTCTCTGCTCACCAGAGGCCAGCGAGCCCCCACAGCAGCCGTGTTGGGCCTCAGGTACTGTTACTCTCAACTCCCATCGGTGCAAACACCCTCAGGAGGTGGAGCAAGGTGCTCAGTGCCGCACTGGTGCAGGGAGGAGCCAGCGTCCCAGCCCTGGTCGCTGAGGCCACCTGGTAGGAAAAAAGTGCATGTTGTCAGGAGACCTGAGTTCCAGGCTCAATTCTGTTACCAGGCCTCTGAGTGGCCTTCGGAATAATCACGAATTCTTTCTGGGCTCGTTTTCCCCTCTGTAAAATGAAGGGGTAATGCCAAGGGACAGTTGAGAGCCCTCCCAGTTCAACTATTTGGTGATACTAGGATGCTGGGAAGGACCTGTAGCTCTGCGGGTAGAGGAAATGAACAAGCCACAGACTCTTCCAGTGGAAAAGACAGATACCGTTCAACATGCCCCAGGCAGGAAAACGGAACTTGCTTCACAGAGGAAGGGCACATAAATCAACCTTGGAGAGTAATCAGGGAGAACTTCCTGGAGGAGGTGATAGGTGAACAGAGTCCTCAAGGGCAAGAAGTAAGAGTGTTGAAAATCTAGAGAGGAAGGAAGACACGCTGGGCAACAGGAATAGAAGTGCGGGAGCCTAGAGGGAGGGTGTTCCGTGTGGCGATGTGCAGTTTGAAAGGAGAGAAGTGTCCCTACGACTCAGAGGCTGTTGTTGGACAGTCGCTAAACTGTGCTGCTGATGGGCGATGGCCAACGTCACTGCTGAGTATGCACATCAGCAAGGTCACCTGTCACCAGCTTGAGATGTCACCCTCTGAAGAGCGCCATGAACATCCCCTGTGCCCTCACACGCGGCCTCTGTGGCTTACAAAGCCGTTTCACCCGCCCGGACTCACAAAGCGGTTCCCAGCCCGGCCGGGGCTGCGAGTGCCAGGCAGAGCTCCCGCCTGTGCTCCACAGCCAGCCGGCCCAGGCCAGTGGTTGGCTGGCTGATAACCCCGGATTAAAAGTAGAGAGGAGAGTGTCTATTGAGGGTGGCTTTGAAAGGAATCGGGGTGCCGCCCTGGCCTCCGGGCTGAGGGAGTGGAAGTCAGGGGTCAGAAACTGCTCAGTGAGCATTTCTTCATCGCTCTTCCAGATTGGTAGGTTCCAGACCACAGCATTGGGTTTGTCAGAGTTCCTGCGCTCCCTGCACTAGAAGAAGCACTTGGAGCTGGAGGCCTGGCGGCCTCAGGAATCCAGGCGGGGCCCTCCTACCGCCCATGGACACAACCTGGGGAGGAGTCGGTTCTGTGCCTTCAAACCGTGCTCCTGAGGAACCTCAGAACTCACCCCCGTCTATCTGGGGGCGGAACCTAAAGGACTGGATGGGTCAGAAGTTCTGCTTGTATCTGTTTTACCTACGGTTTCTATCAGAAAAACAATTTCTGCTGCTAAACAGTCCAAGGCTAGTCCAGCCTCTCTCCATTAAAGAAAACGAAGCCTGAGAGAGGAGAGCTGAAGGTATTGTAGGCAGCAGGATCGGGATCAGACTGGACTTGGGTTCAGCAACCTTGGTACTTGAGTTCTGGGCAGGAAAGATTTCAGAGCCAAGAATCAAACTATAAGAGAACATTTATTTATAAAATCACGGAGGTGGAAGAAGTCGTTCATAGAAGAGGTGGGCTGAGGAAGTGAGTTATGGAGGCAGAGGAAGGGCCCTAGGAGCCTGGGAGTGAGGAAGGTAATGGTAATGAGCCTAGAGGAGGGCAAGGGAGAGGGAGAAGGGGGGGCCTGCTCCCAGGAGGGAGCCTGCCCTGGGTTCTTTCTCCTGAGGGTTTTAAGGTGGAGATTTTAGGGGAGGTCCCCGGGGGAAGATCTCAATAGAATATTCAGCAGTTTTCCGGGTGTTGTGGTCTCCACTGATTGGCCTGCACCAGGGGTCATTATCCAATGCAGCTGGTCCTGCGGTCAGCCATAGGGTTGCTGGTCTGGTTTTGCTGTTTTTCTGGGCCTGGAACTAAAATACAACCGAGGCGTAGATGTTATCTCTAGGGAGAAAAGGTCAGGGGGTCCAAACGGCATATGCTGGGGAGGAAAAGTCACCCTGGGGGCGAGTCCCACCTGCGATTGTTTCTAGGCACCTGGGCTTTCCGCCCTGGTGACCTCTGTGCCTGCCCCTTCCTCCTTGCTCTGCTCATGTCTGACCAACTGCCCGCCACAGTATGACCCAGGTCTCCTGGCCCCAGTGCTCTCTCCGCCATCCTGGTCCCCCCTTCACCCTCCACATCTAGGCTGTGAGATTTGCTTGTCTGCTGTGACCCCAACATTGAATACTCAAGGCACTTACCAGGGTGCTGAGCCCCTCCAGGCGCTTGGCGAAGGGTGTAATCAGGTAGTATGGAAAAGCCAAGTAACAGTTGATCAAACAAGATAACAGGTTTTCTCTATCACACAGGCGGTCCAGGGTTGGTGTGGCAGCTCCACAGAACTTTCAGGAACCCAGGCTCCTTCCAGTCCATCACCCTGTCACCCCAAAGGGGTGATGCTTGCTTGACCTCATGTTCCCAGAGGGCAGCCAGAGCTCCAGACACCACATCCACATCCTTTGTAAAAAGAGAATTAAACTTAAGACTTGAAAGTATTGGGTTCAAATCCTGATTCTCCACCTAATATCAAAGTCAAAATACATTTCTGAGCCTCAGTTTTATCATCCAAAACAAATCATAATAATCATCACCTCACAAAATAGTCATGAGGAGTCAATAGGACAATTTATGTGAACGATAACTTATGGGATGGGCACTCAAGTAAGGTTTGCTTTAAGAAAATAACAATAATCTGAGGAAGAACGCCAATTCTTTCACCGGCTAAAACTGGATATTATTAAACACTAGAGGCCAAGTGCACGAATTTGTGCATGGGTGGGGCTGATCTGCTGGGCCTGCTGTGGGAAGGGGTCGTGGGAGGTTGGCCAGCCTGCCCCACCCCTGGTCGAACTCCCAGTCAAACTCCTGGTCGAGGGGATAATTTGCATATTAGCCTTTTATTATATAGGATGGCTCATGGTCCATCAGTTAAAGGTTGGAATTCTCAAGCCCCACATCCCCTGGCCAAGCCAGGCTCTCTCCTGTCTGCCTCCCAGCTCTCTCTGTGCAAAGTTCTCAACAGAGCTAGAGGTCTCTTTCTCCTCCACACGCATCACAGAGCCCTCAGCAGCTAGCACACACCGAATACGAGGCAGGCATTTGCTAAGTGTTGGTTCAAACTGTATTCCATCTTAATGACGTGGGTTGTACTGGCATTTGACTTATGAAACTATTAATCCCCAAAGTTAAATTTAACTCCAGTGGATTAAGAAAAAACTCTAGATCACATTTATGTTAGGTTGGTTTTATATGCAGGAAAATATTTGTTTTAGGATATTTTTCAGATTTTTAAAAAATCTAATAAGATAAAAAAAATTAAAAAAAAAAAGCCTAGGGGATGAAGAAAGAGGTTGTGTGGAAAGAGGAGAGGGATATAAAGGCATAGAGATGCTCTTTAAAAATCCAAGCAAAATAAAGAAAAAATCTAAGGAAACATATTTGGACCCGGAAGAGGTTACGTAACTTGTGCGAGTTTTAAAACAATAATATTGAGTTCTGGGATGAGTAGCGATGGAGATGGGCTTCTCCTGTGCCACTGGTAGCAATACCCATAAAGGCCACAGGATGGCAATATTATTCCAGGAATCTCTCCGGCCTCGCCCACCCAGTGGCTCCTGCTTTCTTATCTCTGGGGTGAGGAATGTCCGGCCCGCCAGCGTGTAAGGCTGGAGAAATCATGTGGTCTGGTCTGGCCTTGCCAAGGCGTTAGGGGTGAGTTCATTAAATGTCTGACCAATGATAGCAGGCTAATTTTTAAGTTGATAATTATAAATAGCCACATGGCCCTCGGTAGAAAAAGGTTCCCCACCCCTGCCTAGCTAATGTCATTAAATGGCATTGTGCACTTTCTGTCGAAAAGTCATGCTCCCGGCCTCACCTTCAGCCACTGTCCCTTCACCAGTCTTAATACTAAAATAAACTACCGACTGACTTCACGGTTATTCGTTCCATTTTAAAAACAGGTTTATGATCTATCTCAATTGTAAAAGCAGCTTAAATCAAAAGTGTGATTTTAGTGAGAAAACAAGATGAACAAACAAACAAAAAAGCCTCACGTGAGGTTGATATTTCCCAGGTAAGCTGGGTGTGGCCAGGCCTGGAGGTGGTCAGAGACTGAAGCGCCCACTTGAGACAAGATAACTCCTTAAGCTGGTGAGGTGGAGCCCGGCTCCAGAGAGAGCAGAGAATGAAAACCCAAATGCTACTCTTTAAAAAAAAAAAATGTTTAGTATGGAAAATTTCAACCATGCAAAAGTACACAGATGCTATGTCAGGCTCAGATACCATCTGAAGGTGGGTCTGAAACTATAAACCATGACAGAGGCTGTGAGGAAAATGGAAGTTCCCAGTTTGTTGAGGACACTTAGGATGTAAGGTCAGGGCCTGTGTTTGAAAAAAACCCTCCCCCCACCACCTCCTACCCCCCCCCTCCCCCCTGTTGGCCCCTCATAATGTAAAGTCTTTACAAGAGAAGGGGGTGGGGGGAGCCCTGGTCTCAGAGGGCCGTCAGAACGCTGAGCTGTGCAGTTTCCGCACGAGGATTTGAATCCTGGTTTAGTGTCCTGTCGTGCAGGAGGGTTGTTTGTTTGCTTTTAAACCTGGGTTGCTTCTAGGGATATCTGAATGCCCAGAGAATGTCATGTGTGGGCATTTTCCTAGGGAGAAGATGCACTGCTTCCACAGGGTTGCCCAAAGGCTCCTGGTCCCCTCACCCCTGCCAGGAAAAACAGAGCCACTGTAATGTATTGATTGTGCTAATCCAGTCGCTCATCTCTAATGGTCATATTACCCGTTATATGATGGCCTTTGAATGATTTCACTGAAAACACAGAAATTTTAAGAAAAATAGTCCTGCTACAGTCATTTACTATTTTGAAATGTCATATGATCTTCCTCCCAGTGACTGGATGAAATCCAGCACAGATGACTTATTTTCTATATTTGAGATTTTATATCCACCTAACATAATTATAGAACTTTTAATAAAAGTAATCTGCTTTTAGGTACTTTATATTGGAAACGTCTAGGTGTATTGATTTCATAGCTCGGAGCAGAAACTAACAATTAATTACACTAATTTTAAGTATGTTTCATAACAATGATAATCCAAATTCATTACTAAATGAATTTGGGCCTGGCCATTGTGGCTCAGTGGTTGAACATCGAACTATGAACCAAGCCATCACAGTTCAATCCTAGTCAGGGCACATGCCTGGGTTGCAGGCTCAATCCCCAGTAGGAGGCATGCAGGAGGCAGCCGATCAATGATTCTCTCTCATTGATATTTCTTTCTCCCTCTCCCTTCCTCTCAGAAATCAATAAAAAATATTTTTTTAAATGAATGAATTTGGGCAAATGTGCTTTGCTATAAATCCATTTAATGCATTTTTTTTACACGGGCATTTCAAAGTCATTGTGGAAATAATCACAAACACACATATTTATTCACAGAAAATGCCATCACGGCTTTAATATGAAACAAAGCTGTCAGAGTTCACAGAAAGAGCATAAAGTGCAAGAGCTCCATTTCAAAAGGCCTTACGCTACTCCCAAAGCAATGGAGGTTAAATGCCACCACAGCCAGCGGGCACACACCTTACACAGCACACCCTGCATAAAGTATAAACTATAGAAGGAATGTATCTGAAAATACTATATTTGTTCTAATTACAAACTGTGGTTATAAAATACTCTTAAATCTGGCTTAACATATAGAGATACCTTTTCAAACAATTAGTCCCTTATAGTAGGGGCCATTCAAGAAAAAGAAGTCCATAGAATGATGTTATAAAAGCCATGGGGAATCCCAACCTGGCCCGAGCCTTCTCTTTGGCCAGCTAGAATGGCAGCACCCAGAGCAAAGAGCTGGCTATGAAAGGTCCCAAGTCCATTTGGAGAAAAGGAGCTCTGGTCAGGGCTCTGGCTAGGCTAGCCTCAGCCCTCACCTGTCCCTCACAGGTGGTCCTATGTCAGCCCCGCGGGAGGAAGAGCCAGGGAGGGCTCCAATCCAGTCCTGGGGCCGCCAAGACGGCACTGGCTCATAGAAGCATGATGGACTGGTGAGATGCTTTACACACCTGAGAAACCCAATAAACAGAATAGGTGATGGCATTTCACAAAGCCTGTGTTTGATGACCCTCGAGCTTAGGCGCTCTCCAGAGGGACAGTGTTCCCCCAAAATGTAGCATGTGACCAAATAGGTTCAGATATCTGCTCCCATGCACCTTAAATATGTTCACTGAAGTGCTTGTTGTATAATAATATGCTCATCAAGGGGATAAATATTTCTTTTCCTAAAAATCAATAAGCACCCAAACAATATTCAGTAAGAATCATTCACTTAATAACATGGTAACATTTTTTTAATATGCAAAATGCATTCCTTCTGGATATTGATTTGGGGCAAATTCTACCCAGAACAGAAATCTGATAGCCATGCAGAGCAACTGCCGTGACCTAGCTCCCAAGTGTGGAATCGCCACTTCCCTCCTTGGCAGCGGGGAGAACGATTCTTGATTGCACGTTCATTAATGAAATAAGCCCTTCACTTACTTTACATCGGCAAACATCAACACCTTAGAGCCATATATTTAACACTATTTCCTATTACTCGTCAGTCCAAGAGCAGAAGCATATCTGGGAGTAGAATCCAGTCCATGATTCCACGCGCGGCTCCCTCAGCAGGGAAGACTCAGTGGTCAGGCTCAGAATCCAGTGATGAGCTCTCTGGCGTCTCGCTAAGGCGAGTGCACTTCAAAGCCTGCTCTTCGTGCAAAACACCCAACTCACACATTCCACTCAAACTACAGGACAAACCATCAGCTCTAAAAGACATCTACTTACAAATGTAGTAGGAAAAAAAAAAAGACTAGAAGGAAATATACCAAAATATGGTTGTCCTTGAGCTATAGAAATAGATTACTTCTTTGACTTTTTTTGTAGTATCCCAATTTTCTTTAAAGAGCAAGTAGTGCTATCAAAGCATTATAAATATGTAACTATAACTATGAACGATACCATCAACCTAACTTAAATACTCTCTTGACTTGCCATCCCACGCTGACAAGCTATAGTGATTGCTGTTCAAACGGGTTATGTTTTGCCTTCAATATACCCCACTCCCCACTTCTTTCTCGGCTCTCATTGCATTAAAACCAGTTCCTAGTAGGGCATTGTGTTCCTATCAGAAGCATTCCTCCTGACATCTGAACTTATTCACATCATTTCTTGTGCTAGAGGGATGGAAATAGCCCGAGAGTCAGGGCACGTCCTTCCTTCCTTCCAGCAGTCACCATTCATCCCTATTTCCAAAGACACCCAGAAACTTCCAGGAGGTCAAAGCCTTGGGAGCTGAAGGTAGTGTTCCCCAGGGAACCAGCCCTGCCATCTGGTACATGGCCCATCCTTGATAATGCTCCCCTCACCAAGGAACCCTCCAGACAGACACACACACAAACATGACCTACCCTCCTCTCTGTCTCCCCTGATCTACGCTTCCACGCTAAGACAGGTGGGCTTGCAGCACACCAAACCCCTTACTTGGGGGCATTTTTATTGTGCAGAATGGATGAAACCAGGATCCGTGCCTGCTGAGCCAACCAGAAGAGAGGGCAGTCTGATAGCCCCCTTTAAAAATTCTGGACTTAAAACCCACAGGACTTAGCAGTTTTCAAATTCTGTTTCATGAACCACCTAGGTCACATAGAGGTGGGTTAGAGGTTCTTGAAATATTTAATTCAAACATCGTTTTTAGAATATATTTTTACACTACAATATAGCAATATGTACATTCATTCAATACCCAATTTTTCTACCTTGAAAACCACCAAATTGTTAATTTGCATTTTCACTGCCTGATATATTTAAGAACTGCTATAAGTTTAACCTTAAAGTAAATTTAAGCTAATAAAACCCATGTCACACATTGGGGTTCCATAAAGATTTCTTACTGCAAACAGGGTTCTGCTGCTAAAATAATTTGAAAACCACAGAAGATATTCATTTTTAAACTCTGAATTTCGTTCTTTCATGGGTTTTGCCTTAGATTCTGTGCAAATTCCAGCCAGAGAAACAGGTCCCGGCCAGGCCCCACTGCTGCTGCCCAACTCTGAGGTGCTTTGGGCAGTGGTGAGACTCCTGGCCACACAAGGACAGCCTGCCCTGCCCTCACAGGGGAAGGCTGCAAAGCAGGAAGCGCCTGAGTGAGAATGAGTATCCCTGAGGCCGCGAATCCCCCCCTCACACCTTCAGGGGTGTGTGGAGTCTCCCATCCATTCCAGGGAAGAGGAGATTTAGTTGTAGCCAGTGTCACTTTAGGTGAGAAAAACGCAGAGGCAACAGCTTCGCCCTGCGGCACCGGCCAAGGACCCACCAGCCAATGCGTGGCTACAGCCAGCACTGGGGACTGCGGCCCAAATGCTCCGAGAATCTACAGGAAGCCCCTCCCAGTGCGAGCGCGGTGAATAATCACCCCAGCAAAAGCCAGAGAAAGGATGGGGATGTTCTTGAGGTAAGGTCCAGGCAGCACACAGGAGGTGTCCAATGAGAACACGTCTCCAAAACTTTGTGGTTGCTCCCAGCTCTGAGCCCGGACCCCCGCCCTCACGGTTGTCAGAGCCCTTGGGTGATGTTAGAGGTCAGGCAGTGAGGAGGGGTCTGGGGAGGGACCCAACGACTCCTCTGTGTGTCTGAGGCTACTGGGCTGGGGTGGGGGACAACAGTGTCCATATTTAAACACTTTGCATCTTCAATAATGGCTTAAAATGGACAGTCGTTTTGGCACAGAGGGGTTTTCTCCGTAGCTTTACCCTCACCTGTCAGGTCTCCATGTCTCAGCAGAGGTAGAAGTGAAAGGATCCACAAATGCATGTAAAACCCGGGTGTTTGAGCGCGGCAAGCAGAGAGCTAGCTTCCCTAGCCACAGCCATGCGTGTGTGTGTGTGTGTGTGTGTGTGTGTGTGTGTGTGTGTGTGTGGTTTTCCCAAATGGAAACCTGGTGTCCTCCATCAGACGGGTGGAGGGCGTTGTCTGGCAGGATCTGACTGTCAGCAGGAATTGGGGGTCTGGAGCCCACAGACCCGCAGGAAGGAGGCACTGAGTCCCCCACTGGCTCAGGGACACAGACCACAAGCCACTGCCTCTGGAAGTGACGCTGTGAAGATGTAGCCAGTCCTCAGCCCCCTACTTTCCATCTCTGGGAGCAGTGGAGTCCGGGGTCCACACACACCAGGGAGAGCCCAAGGAAACAACATTTTTAAGAAAATAGACCCCACCCCCAACTCTGAGACCCCCCCAGGGGTCTTTGCTGGCAAGAAGCCCGGAGGACACCCAGGCAGAGAAGCCCGCCCTCCGTCACGTGGTCTTGACTGAGGATTTCTTGTGGGCGC